AGCAGCTCAGCATGATGATGGAAATGAGAAATAACTACTTTTTTTTCTTTTTTTTTTCCTTTTTTTCAAAAGATTGTGAAAAATACTAATGCCAAAACTTCGCCCTCCATCATTACAATAGGTTAGGAAAGAAACATCTAACAACGTGTCATTTTGCTACAAAATGCTCCTGCAGTAATAAGGACAGAATAGAGGATTTTTAACGCATCTTTTAACAACTTGAGTGTAAGGGTTTGCTTCTTTACAATTCTATTTAGCATTATTTAAATAACCTTTACAACATCAGAAAAAGATTTAGCTGCAAGATAACAGATGCAATTTTTTAGTTGCTAGTTTGTTTGTTTCCTGTAAGAATGAGTTAATAGATAGCAGTCTCTCTACCTACAGGAAGTCATCATTCAGAACAATGAAGTAAGAACAAGAGAGAAGGAAGGATTTTAAAAGTTCAGGGTATCTGGGGCCCACCTCCAGTAAGGAGAAAAAAACATAATAATTACTTGTGTTTACTGAAGGTACTAGTAAGACATCAGTGTGAGGTCTTCTGAGCAGTTCCGTACTCTCCCCAAGCTGCTTCAATTTGTCTCACACACATTGCAGTCATGCAGCCATTCAGCGAAGCGGGTTCTTTAATCCTCATATACATAGAAATCTCCAAAAAGGTATGTGATCCGTAACACCCGGGACAAAAATCAACCCTCAGGAAATAACCTATTTTTTGCAAGTCCTGGGGCATTTTCCTTCTAATTTCTTTATAATTATGCCCCTGGATGTTAAAAAGTTCCGAGTCGCACATACATCTGCTTCCCCAAAGTCATTTACTTTGGTAATATTTCAGCAGTTTTCTTCATCAGGATCCATACGCTTGTAGGTAAGTGTTGCCAAGTTTGCTGAACTGGAGAGTGGTATAAACCATGCTGTGCAAAAAGCCTGCTGAGTCTAGGCAGCTTTTACTTGGGGAAGACAAAGTGCTGGTTTTTTTGGAGGGAGGAATGTTTGTTGGTTTTTAAAGAAAACCTGCACACAAGAGGAAATAGCAGACCACTATATACTGTATCATATGACAAGTGTGCCAACGAGTCTGATTTGCAATGGCCACAAAGAATCTGGAAAAGTCTGTTTAAATAATTAGTTGCTGCAGATTTCAGTTATAGAAATGATGAGGCAATCTCATGATGAAAAAGCTAAACCAATCTTACTTCAGCGGTTTTAAAAAGTCCTTGTAATAGTCAGAAGGTTTTAATCTTGAATGTACAAAAACATTTAAATTCCAAGATACAGAATGGAGACAATCAAGTGCACTGTAGCTGGACAGTAGGAAAAACAAAGAAAACAGGAAAGGGTATTTCTTTTTGTTAGCTGACTTTTCCACAGAACCGACAGGCTTTATTGAACACAAAGAATGGCTTCCAATCAAACCTACGAAGGGCTTGCCCAATGGTCTGAAATTTTAAAATACAAACTTGTGTTCTCAATGCAGATACACGGTGAATTTTCAAAGACAACTGGGTTTTATCCCATCTGTTCCCCTCTCTCCCACTAAGCAGCACCAAGTCTTTGCACATACCAAGCAGAATTTACACAAAATGGGTTTGGCACATGCTGTCTTATACCCGGCAAAGCTTAAACTGGTGTTTGCTGGATATTTACGTTTTCTCCTCACCAGAAGTTGTTGAGGTCTTTGTGCATCAAAAGCGGAGGGATGCTGCTTCGATGATAGATGTCCCTGTAGATGAAGAGGGTAATTCGGATGTACTGTAGATGACTGAATGGGCTGACGTTCTATTTAAAGTTCTTATTTCTCTGATGATGGGTTCCAATGCACAGGTATTTGAGACCATCCTGTTTCTAGGAACTTGAGTGCTTGTCCAAGCAGATGACTGATAGAGAATGGATCTTTGCATGACAAATTGTTGAGAAGAGATTGTGATGTGTGTTTTAGGGTCATACAGGTTTATTTCTGATGAACTTTTAAGCAGCAGGTTTATCTTGAACAACAATCATCCATTC